CTGTGGCCGTGATGTCATTCCGTTTTGCACTATTGCTGTGTACAGCACATCCTGAGTTCAGCTCAGTTCAGTTTCTGTGTCTTTCAGAGGAACTAGCCCAGCCTTCCTTTTCCAAACAGATCCCTTTAACTACCTGTCAAATTGAATCATATAAAATTGGCTCATTGTTCTAAACAGGAAGTAAATATATATGAGTGGGGAAGCAGAGCTCTAAATAGCTGATGACCTGGCAATAGTGGGCAGGACTTTGGATCCTTTTAAACATTATCATCCTGCTGAGCCCAGTGCATTCATTCTCTCAGGAACAACAAGTTCCCTGAAGCTAAGAGTTGGGAACAGGAGCAAGAGATACCTGGCTGCTAGCAGAGCAAGGTAAGTTTGCTTAACCTAGTAGTTTCTACAGATAACTGAGGGATGGTGATTAAGTTTTTCTATCAAATGAGACTTCTAGTAAGTCTGAGCATGGTAAAAGACATGGCAGGGAAACAAGAAAAAAAGAAAAGAAAAGAAATTTGGGGGTTATTTGTGTGTGTGTGTGTGTGTGTGTGTGACAGAGTTTCACTCTGTCACCCTGGGTAGAGAGCACCCTGACATCATCATAGCTCACAGCAACCCCAAACTCTCAGGTTCAAACGTCATCTTGCCTCAGCCTCCCAAGTAGCTGGGGTTACAGGTGCCTGCCACAAAGCCTGGCTATTTTTTCTATTTTTAGTAGAGATGGGGTCTTGCTCTTGCTCAGGCTCTTAATTTCAAACTCCAGAAGTCAAGCAATCCACCTGTCTCAGCCTCTCAGGGTGCTAGGATTACAGGTGTGCCCCACCATGCCTAGCCCAAGAAAAGAAATTTTAAAAACCACACCAGAATGTATAAGTAGCCAAGAAAATTGGGCAGTATAAGCCACAAAATGAATATGGCATGCACTAGCAATGGGGCTTTCCTTAGGAGGGTCTGGTCTCAACTAACATTTTCATAACCAGGACTGTGGAGACTTCATGTCCACTCTTCCACCCTCCATTTCCTATTCCAGAAAATGAGACAATTGAACTTAGTGTTGTCCAAAAATGTTACTAGAATTTCTTCTTCCTTCTTCTTTCTTCCTTCTTTCTCTAATAAGGAAAGGCATTGTGTAGCTTCTTGTCCTATATTCATATAAATGGTTGTTCTCACTTTAGTTAGTATGTCCCTCCCCAAAAGGAGGATAGGACTTCCAACATGATTAGGAAGGCCTGAGGGAACAGACAGTGGGGCCAATTGTCGCTTAAAGGCTGAGAGAATTTGGTAACTGGCTTTCCAGACACCCCTGTATAGTTACAGATTTGGGGGACAGAAGACCAGAGTTAGGAATACAAAAAAAATGTTGTTCCAGTACCCAGAAGAAATTCGGTCTCTTGGCTCTCCACTATGAGGCAAACCTGGGGCTCTTTAGGGGTAATGACACAAGCCAGAGCCATGAGCAACTGCCCCGGGTACCCTCAGGCCAATTCTGGGGACTACCTTCACTTCTGGGGACAGGCTGTCCTTCAGTGACCACCCTTGCATTCTGGACAGGGGCCAGGTGGCTTGCCTGACAGGCAGGGCTGCCAGGGGCAATCTTTCTTAAAGTAGCCAGTCTAACCAATTGGAAGCTCTTGTTCTCAGCACCTCTGGCTTCCCTCTGACCCTAAATGGTGCCCGTTTGTCATACCATTACAAGAGCTGTCATTCTTTTGTTATCCCTCCCCTTTTTTTCTCCTCTTTCTGCTGATCTTGATTATAGAAGACCACTATGGCCATTTTACAAAGATTCTCCCAGTTACATCTTGGCCTGGAGCCAATTTCTGGAATTTTATCCTAATGTCGGGGGCCGTCTGAATTTATAAATTCATCTTTTAAAGTAATTTGGCCCTGAAAAGAGTTGGGTATCAACTGAGCATTTTCTCATTGCCTCCCTAAGCCACTCAAGACAAGCTGAGGGACTTTCATTTTGCTCCTGGTAAATAGTTAACAACTTAGAATAATTCGTAGGCTTTGTCTTGGATCGACATAAACCTTCCAGGATACATGTTAGAAAACGTTTACGCCACCAGTCCCTTTGTTTCTTAGGGTCCCATTCAGGATCCTCAAAGGGAACTGCCTGTCTTCCTGTGGGGTATCTGTCTCTTTCCTCAAGAGGATGTACTGCTATCAATATTAGACTTCAACCACAAATCTCCCCACATTTTAGGCTCATCTAAGACTCTATTTTTCTCATTCAAAGTTAAAGTTTGCTCTGGTAGTAGCATTATATCCCTCCAAGAGAGGTCAGAGCTTTGTCCTAACCTTTGTAGAACATCTATATATGTATCTGGGTCATTGGAAAATTTTCTTCAATCAACCTTGATTTGTTTGAAATCCACCAGAGAAGATGGAGTGAATACTCATGCGTTTTCTCTCTCACCACCCACAGTCTCAACCAAAGGACACAAAGAAGAATACAGTTGCTTTCTGGGGCTCCCAATAGGACCAGAACAAACTCTTGGGACTGTCTCCTTCTTGGTGTTTTCTAAAGGCACAGAGGAAGGTGCAGGAGAAGTAAATGGCAGGTTTGAACTAGGTGGTGACAGAATCTTTCTCAGGAATCCCTGACATTGAGGAAGTTACCACAGCCAGGAGAGCTGAATATCTGACAGATTTTACACAGTTGGGGGTTATCTCTGAGAAAAAAGAAAGCTTGCACATAGGTTATTCAGACCATTTACCCTCTTGTTTACCATAATTTAGAGTCCTCTCTGGTGGTTATCGTTCACCATTGGAGAGTCGATACTAAGGCCAGGTCTGGGTGCAGAAGAAAACCATGCATTCCTTCCTCAGCATCTGGGGATCAAATATGTCCCAATGCTTTAGAATACAGCCCAGCATGGTGGTCCAGTAGCACAAGCTGAAAAATCAGGTTCTGGGAGCCATGGTGCTCCCACCTGATGAAATTCACTTGGCAAGAGAATATGTTACCTGGGTGTTCTCTTAGAAAGATAACTTTACCCATCTGTGGGAAAGAACAAACATCCAGTGCTTTAATCAATCCCACTCTCTGTATTCCTATGTAGTCAAAGCATCCTCTGACCAACCCAGGAAGCCTTCCAGCTAAACAAAAGGAAGCATATCCAATTCTTGAGGAAGAATTCTGAGGAGAGTGGCCTCCTTAGCCCTTGAGCTTGTCTGGATTTAGCCACAATTACCAGTACTCGCTGGCTTTCCTGCACTTAATACTTGGTGGCAGCATAGCCTGAGAAATCAGGTACCCTGGAGCCTGGTCCTGATGCAAGTCCTGCCCCTTTCTGCACCTGCCATTGAGTATACGCCTGTCAACCAAGGTGGGGATAAGCCCTGCCCTGGAGAAAATGACTGTGCAGTGCTTGTGCCTGTAACCCTTAATCATTTGTACAAGTTTTTCTAAATCACAGTAACAAAGGAAGCAGGCTTTTTATCATGGGCAAGTCTTAAATGCTATGTTTTCCACCCTTCTTTCTTCCCCCAAAGTTATCAAGGCAATAATAATTAAACTCAGTAAAAAATCAGCATTGAGGGAAACTTGAAAATTTTTTCATTAAAATTAGTTTACAACTAGCCAAATTCTTAGAGAAACCTGGAATGCCTTTGAACCTTTCCTTTTACCCTAATAGACCAGGAAAAAATCAAATACCCAGGGTCTTTTTTTTTTTCTTTTCAGTGAAATGCAATGAAAAGGACCTTTTGGAAACATGCTTAGAACATCTGAAAAATACCAGAAAGAGTCAGTACAAACTCACCTATATACACAAAGCAAACCTTTACCAACACTAAAAGCACGCAAACTGCAAGGAGAAAGAGGGAAAGCAGCAGGGGTCTGCAGAGATAAGTAGAAGTTTGGGACCCAGGAAGACATGAGTGGATAGTAAAAGGGCTGGGACAGCATGGTTTTCAGCAGGCCTTCCAGTGCCATGAGGTCAGAACCATTGCAGGGGACCCCAGAACCTCTGGGTGCTATTTCTGTTCACTCTGCTCTCAAGCCTTCTAACTTTCCCTTTCACTCCTTTCTTTTGGAGCCAAGGGGAATTAGAAAGTTCATTACCGGCTCAGCACCTGTGGCTCAAGTGGTTAAGGCGCCAGCCACATATACCTAAGGTGACGGGTTCAAATCCATCCCGGGCCCGCCAAACAACAATGATGGCT